TTGGCGCAAATCCTTCACGTGTCGTGGGACTGGCCATTCCTTTACAGCCTTTACCTTTTCTGGGTCTGCTCGTACACCATGTGCACCTACGATGCAGCCCAGTACAGGTATCTCGGGGACCCCTATTACGCACTTTTGAAAGTTAACGTATAATTGAGCATCACCCAAAGTCTGCAACACAGCGTCTAAATGACGCTTGTGCGACTCCATCGCGCTCAGACCGTCCTCCGCCCTACTATGCACGAATACATCGTCAAAGTAATGGGGCGCATAGACATGGTGCTGACGCATCACGTGAGCCGCCACTCTGTTAAATGTTGCCGGAGCATTTTTCAACCCTTGTGGCATCACAAGCCACTCCCACAACATACCGCTTGAGGTGCTTACTGCTGTTTTGGCTACATCAGTATCTTTCATGGAAAGTTGGTAGTAGCCATCCTTCAGATCCAACGCAAAAAGATAGTTGACTTTCCCATGGAATTCAACAAAACATATTTCCACGGGATCGGCGTTTGAGCCGGAATGGTGGACGTGTTCAGCTTAGTATAAGCATGAACCACGCGCCATCCACCTGTTGTTTTCGCACATAGAAGGTCGGGCTGCAGTGAGGCGACTTGCTCTCACGTACATGTCCCGCCTTGACTCGCTTGTCGAAGAACTCATCGATGTAATCTACTTGTTCCTTCGGCAACGGCCATTGCCTGGTCACACAATACTTGGTGCCAGGCTCCAGGTCAATCTCGTGCGTGATGCCCCTATCGGCCGGTAGGCGGCTCGGCACTTCTGCTGGAAACACATCACGGTGTTTCCACAGAACATCATAGAACGGGCTGTCCTTCAAGGCATCCCAGCCTTGAGCAGCGAACCGTTTCTTCTTGTCGGTATTCAAGACGCTCTCGTCCATTGTGGACGACGAGCAACAGTCCACCACGTTCTATTCTGGAACTGGTGCGACTATCTCGTGGATCTTTCCTTCCTTTAAGTCGGACAGGAACAGATCCCACGTCATCTCCGAGAGATTTACTATCTCCTCGGCAGATGCCAAGACAAGTTGGAGCACCTCAACTGAGGATGCCTCCGGCATTTTGTCTTCGACGGCCTCGAACAACTCGTTCGTAGGTCCGTTCTCTTGGACCGAGACTGATCCAAGGGTTACTCGTTTCGACGTGTCCTTGATCGTCTTAATACGTCTGGTGCTCGTTCTTCGAGTCACCACGACCTTTGACCTGGAAGAAGGTGTCGTTGCTATCTCAGCTAACGCACTCCTTCCAACCGCACCAGGCTCATGGCTCTGCACCGGTTCTTGTGGCGCTTGACTTCCTTTCAGCCCACCATCCACTGCCACAGGCTCTCGGCTCTGTGCAGGACTATTGGACGCATGACTACTTGTCATCGTCCCATTAACTACACCGGTCTTTTCGGCCTGGGTAAGAATATGTGTCACCTGGCTTTCTGCCAGTGCACTTCCAACTACACCACTCCTTTCGAGCTGGGTAGTTCCTGGTGTCGATTAACATACCGTCATCGCACCCTCGACTGTGTTGGACACAGCATCAGCCACATAAGCCTCTCGCAAGAGCACATCCTTTCTGGTGTCTTGCGTAGAGTTGGCGACTGTGCGTGTACGCCAGTCTATCCATGGTTGGTGTTTAGCCAACCAAGGCATGCCTAGGATGAGGTCATACGGACTCTCCATACCTAGCACTGTAAACTTCTCTTTACAAGAGAAGTCACTGAAACAGAAGGCGAGTTCAACCTGAACTTCCTATGATTTTACGAGCGCGCCGTTCGCTAAACGAACGATCGCCTCTTCTCGCTTGACACCCTGGCAAAGTGACTTATAACTCGCCGGTCTCTTTTTCAGAGCCGCAAGTTTCAAAAAATTCTGTAATGCACCCGAATCCACGAGAAGGTCACCACTTGGTCATAGCCTCGTACTCGAGTGCTATAGACCAAAAGGGTTGAGGTCCGACCTTTCGGAACCTCAGGGACTATGCTACTCATTTGTTCGATCACTCTGAACTTAGGGGTAGCTTCAGAGTCCGCAACAGTAGGGCATCCCGCCCCTACTGCGCTTCCGCATTTCCCGACCCATCTTGGGCAGGTGCTGAACCCGTGCGTCGTGCACGCTGGTTTTTCGCACCTCCCTTCGGCTTGGGAGACTTTTTGCCGGCTGCCTTAGCACCAGCAGCTACTTCGGCATAGCAGCGAGCCATCATATGGCCTCGCTTGCCGCACTTGTAGCAGATCACATCTGCATTGCCTAACTCCATAGGAGTGGCATCAGACTTCTCGGACGACGGCCTGTAATAGGCTGTCGCCGAGGCGCTGTTGTAGGATTGCTCCTCAACTAAGGCAATGTTAATTGCCTCTTCCATCGTCGCTGGCACCTTTCTGAAAAGAGCCTGACGCGATGGGCCGTGCCTAAGTCCATTCATGAACGTGGCCACCTTGATACGCTCTGGTATCGGTTCCCCATTAATGGACGCCGACAGCGAACGCATCTCCTGCACAAATTCTTGCAGAGAGCGTTTCGCCTGTCGTGCTATAAAGAAGCGCGCCATAAGAAACACTTCGTTGCTAGGCGGCTGATACATGGCGCGAATCTTTGACTTAAAGATCGCCCATGATGGAAACGCATCAGCATTTTTGGTAAGCGCAGAGTAAGCTCAATCTTACGCTTTGCCACGCAAATTTGACATACCATTCTGGTGTCGTCTTCGATGAGCTTCGCCGCTCCACATTGCTCAACTGCTTTTAGCCAGTGAACAATCGTGTGAGGGCGTCCCAACGAACTTCGAAGGGTCCATCCGAATGGGCCTCGGTTGAGTAGGCCGGGCAGAGAGCGTCTCAACAGTTCTGTTGAGCGCCTCATTCCGTGCCTGCTCAATCCTAAGATCATCCTGAGTCTTAGTGATGGACTCAGCCGTGGCTTATCTGCTTGCATCGGACGCGTTTCTACTCTGTCCGAGCACAAACGTCTCAAAATGCTCCAACTGAGCAACATGTTGCTCAGGAGGACAATGCAAGAGGTTGACCAGGGCTTGTTCTCCAAGTCCCTGCGCCATATGCTCTTCCAACTCCCTATGATGTTGGGAGAGGTGAGGGAAGTCACTCCAGTCCATATTAAGGACCATCTTAACCACACGCACGCTCAGAGAGATGGGTCGTGGGAAGGACTACTAGTGCTACCAAGTGTATACGGGCACTTCTACGAAGTTGCCTCGTGCTACTAGCACACACCTTCAGCACAAGCGAGGAAGCGGTTAGAACGTCTTACCTTCGCGTGCGAGGGTGGTTAGGAGGTTGGTCGACTGCTTAAGCAGTCGTACCACCAGTTGCCTCTCGCTTAAGCGAGAGTGCAATGAACTTCTAAACAAGAAATCACCGGCGTCACGCAGAAGCTTCTTCAGCTTCTCGTGCGCGGTGCTTATGTGTTTAGCAAATTCAAGACTGAGCTATATTTAATGAATTATAATTAATATAAACTTAACTACTGATTGGTTATATATGTATATAGATCGGATACGCGACTCTTTAGAAGCGTATCCTGTCGCATGAGTTTAAATCTAGATTTAAACTTGCGACTGACGTCCTTCTGAGACGTCGCGATGCCTAGCTTCAACTAGCGTCATCCCTTCCCATGTGAATCCATTAATGGATATCACATTCACGAGGGTGGATCACATTTGTGTATCGCACCCAAGTGACAGGTCAAAAATAATCATGGATACTTTTAGACCAAACATTAAGTATATTACTTAATGTTTACGTGTAACTAGATGCCCTGTTACATACATCTAACCCCTTCGAGGTTCTCACAATGTGAAAAGCATTTTTATATTTCTGGTGACAGCTAATTTATCTTTCCGTTGTCCTTTGCTGTAGCGTACCACTTCACAAGCAAGAAGACGAGAATGATATGACAACAGTAAAAGTTTCAACGTCGAGAAAACTCACACACATTCTCGGTAGCTGAGGCTTGTGGAAGTATAAGGTTCTTGAATTGATGCTTTCAGCTCATCCAGTTCTGTAGCAATCATGCGACAGTGTTCTCATCTACTTAACCTTTCGGCCCAAAATGAGCTACGCTTAAAGGCTTTCAATCGAATGCCTTCTCTGCTATTTCGAATACGGCTCATCGTTCCGTACAAACTACGCCGCCGACACAAGGGGGCTGCTGGATAAGCTCGTGGAGCATTAGTCTTCAAAAAGGCTGTGTTGGTTTAGGCCATGATCTCCTTATTGCTGAAGCAGAAGCTTTGCAAAGAGGTGGACGGTTTTGTGAACCGCGACAAGACGATAAAAAGGAAGCTGCGGCTGCTCGTGACCGCGAAGCTACTGCTAGCGCCACGAAGATTAAGACACCTGGCCAGGAGATCGTTGTGGTGAAGTTCGAAGCCTTACAATCTCAAAGCTCGGACGGGATATAGCTAGAGGCCATGAGCACGATCATCCCGACGGCAGCTCGTGATCCTCAGTATGGACTTTAACATGTTTAAGACGGCAGCCTTCAACGCAATTGAGCCAGGAGCACATTGACCTAAAGCAGCTAGACGCGCGTAAGTTGGTGATTTACACCATGGTCGTGATGATAAGAAAAGATAGCGGCGCGCGACACGCTACAGGTCAGGCCAATATTATGTAGAAGGTGGAGGAGGCTGCGGCACTCGTCAAGGCGTTCATTGATAGGTGATCGATGTCAATACACTCTCGTGCTATGGCTGTCGGGTCCATGTATTCTTTTTTTCTAGATAACACAACGTAAGCAAGATTTTATGACACCAGTGGGAACTTCAATGTTAACCACAATATTTTGCTATAGTTAGTTATCACGACTTAAGCGATTGAACGGGAACGTTACCTGTGCGATAAGATAGTGACGCAGGAGGGTCACATCAATTCTCGTCAATCGGTTCAGTAATTATTTCCTAGTTCTCAGCAGCCCCAGCGGATTTAACAGGAGGTAACTCGCCATTTGGAAGCACCTTGACATCCTTCTAGGGCAGCGCGTCATCAGTTCTCTTGAACGCTTGAGTACGTTTAAACTTGCTGACTTTCTCTCTGGGCAGCGCGTCATCAGTTCTCTTGAACGCTTGAGTACGTTTAAACTTGCTGACTTTCTCTCTGGGCAGCGCGTCATCAAGATCATTAAGATCATTAAGACTTTTAGAACGTGTAAGCTTGTTTCCTTCCTCTCCGGACAGCGCGTTATCAAATCTATTAAACCTTTCAGTACGTTTAAGGTCCTTGACTTTCTTCTCGAGCAGCGCGCCATTAAGATCATTAAGATCATTAAGACTTTTAAAACGTGTAAGCTTGTCTCCAAGCACCGCGTCATCAAAATTTAAATTGTTAGCACTTGTTTTAGAATCAGCCATCAACGATTGAAAGTTGAAGGGAGTCCTCTCTTCCCCGTCAGCGATATCAGCCTCGGTCACCTCTTCTCTTAGATTGCGACGCATTCCATCCGTCCGCTCGCGTTGAGAATTCACATCCAAGGTCTTGACTTGAATTAAGCCTTTCGAGCTCGCGACGATGCTGTCGCAAGCGATGGAGGTGAGAGTCACGAGTAGGAGAAACAGGTTCAAGTGCATGGTTTGTCTGGATCTCGTCCGATTCGGAAATGAACAGCTTTAAAGCGAACAGGTTTTTGGTGTTTTGAATGGACACACGGAAATGTTACAGATGTTTGTCGAATACATTTGGTAAGGTATTGAATTACCAGAATTATATATCAACTGTATATCGATTCATTCTACGACATCTCGGTGGGAACTTCTTTGGTTTGGTAGTTCTGAATAGTTTCCTTTATCTACTTAAAAATTCTATAGGTGCCTGGTGCTGTGCCTTGCGTGCCAAGCACATTTCCTCTTTCACATCATTGTCGAATCGGATTTGATACGATCGACCATACCTCAAACATTATATTTAAACAACACAAAAAGGAGGTGCATCGATCTCAATACACGAATTGCATGTAACGGATTGGATTGGCAAGCTACATTCACTCGCGACTTGGAAATGGGGTCGTGTAAAAGAAAATATGAATGTACCACTCTCCTGCTTCGCCCCAACTTAAACTTATAAAAGCAAGTTAATATTAGTGGTATCTATCTACCCATCATGCTATCACGCTCTGTCTTGCTGATGAGCACGGATAGGACTCTGTTAGTGTCTCAAGGATCTTAATATCTGTTTGCGTTTGTATGAAGCGGCTCAGTTTCTAGATAAGCCATATAAATTTGTCACATATATGAGATCGTAGCATTGAGACATACTCTGTATCGATTATTTTGCATTCCTTGGAATACGACCATTTCTTAAAGCATGAAACTGCCAGCATGAACTACCAAATCTAGCTAAAATTGATATTTGAAGGAGAAAGGTATGTCACACGACAAACGAAATAGTGCCCATCTAGTCCGTACAAATCGCCCCATTTGGACGATAGCCCCGGGCAGACCGCTTTACTCGGCATTTGTGGATGACACCACCCTAGCCCTCGAGACAGCGAAGCAAATCCCTCGCGCTTGTACGATCATTTGGCGCTTCTCTGCGGCCTACAGATTCAACTGGCAAATAGTCAGCTGCTCTTTCTGTCAAGCTCGAGCGGTTCGAGGGCATCGCTGTCGTCCTCAATGGTGAAACAACTCGGTACCAAGCTATGAAAATAGTCCTGGGGAATTAGGGTGTTAAAAATTATCACTTCTCACACGGAGTTAGGGTGTTAGAAATTATTACTTCTCACAGGTTGTCGAGCGTCAACTTCACGACCTGTTACAGGTAAGGCTCAACGTAACCTGATTGCTTGTAATTATGACAACGTGATGGGATGAAGAGAGACGGACACCACATGAGACAACCAAGATGCCATGGGGATGGGACCGGGGGAGACGGTCGACATGTGGGACAGGATATAAGACGTCCGGACTGGACGCACGCCATCTGCTACTTGACCTGGTCAAGTTGCACTGCAGGAAGATTACATGGTGTATGGAGTAAACGAAAAAAATTAACACTCAATATAATTTAGTTTTCTATTTTTAATACCTTTGCACGAGTGCAACTACGAACACATCTTTCTCACATTGGGAACAAGAACTGGGCGTGGCGAGTTGATGCTGAGATCTGTTATGGAGATCTACTCCCATTCAGCGAATTATGCATAATTCGCCAATCCGAATGGGGTTTAAATCAGCCAATCAGAATACCCAGAAAGGATCGCACCGACGGACAGACGATAGACACTATTATATTACTAGGGCGTTTGCCCGTCGTTCCGATGGAAGGAAAGCGGGCCATAAAATTAGATGTAAATATGTCAAAAGGATTAAATGCTGGTTGAACAGCTTGTGTGCAGCTTTTTGATGCTGAAGCTTGTTACGGAGAACTATTTTGCTTTATTTATGCAATGTGAATGACGTTATGTAACGGGGTGAGCCCGTTACATAATATTGACACTTATATGAAGTGTCAATAAAAAATATTATTATAACTAATAATATTTGACAATATTATCTTTTCTTATGATATTGTTCCTAGATCTCCTTGAAGTTGGAGATGCCCTATCATTGGTTGATATGGGCCATCATATCAACCAACGTGCTGACCAATGACCGATGGACGCGCGCAATGAGTGGAGGGCAAGTTGTCAACTTACATAGTTGTAGTTTAATATAGTTAACATAGGTTATAACAGATTAGTTTTATTAAGATAGTTAACTATATTAAATACAGTTTCCTTTTCCTTCTCAACTAAGCGTGTGTTTAGTTGAGTGACTTCCTCTGCTCACGTGTACGTGAGGTAATTGGGGCACCTGCTTTCACTGTCATCAGTGAAGGCAGAATATACTGTTATCAGTATAGTCGGAGGGTGTCCTATTACACCTGGTAGAACTTCGTGGTCCGTTCAGCGACCACCGCACCATCCGCTATGGAATTAGCGGGTGATGAACGTCATCACGCAAGGCGTGATGATTTCCGCCCTTTGAGTGATCTCGTATGGAATGCGGTTCAGCGTATGGCTGAAACCATTGGCAACCCTTCCATTGTTGCCATGTTGCTCTTTCTTAGCGGAGACGACCAACATTCAACCATCGCCAAGTTCATACAACATGAGCTTGACGAAGTTGTAAAGAAACTCACCTTGCTAGAGGAGCAAGGTTCTCAACAGGTTGACCTGTTGAGAGAACAAGGCGCTCAACAAGCTGACTGGTTGATGCAGCAGAGTGCTCAACAGTCTGAACTGTTGAGACAACAGCAGGCTAGTGCTGTTGCTGCCGGGTCGACGTGTATACGTCAACCTGAGTCCTTGAAGATTGATGTCTCCAAGTACAAGGCAGTCGAAAGCGACTCCTTGTTGTATTGGTTCGTCGAGCTAGACGATTCCATTGAGGCTCGTCACATCGATAACGATGCGATGAAGGTCAAGTTCGCCATGTCGAACTTGGCAGGACGTGCCAAAGCTTGGGCCTTAGGGCTTAAACTGCACGACCCATACGTTTTTCCAACGTATGACGTCATCAAGGCGCGGCTCAAGCACACGTTTGAACCGCCTCGCGCCGAATCCAGGGCTCGGGATGAGCTCCTGGATTTGAAACAGGGTAAGCGTGATATACATGCTTACGCCGAACACGTACGATACCTCGTTAGCTGTATCGTACTGAACCCAATCGATGAACACACGCAGGTTACTGTGTTCATCAAGGGTCTGACAGATGGTCCTGTTTAGACCCACCTGTTCCGCTTGGAACTAGAATCGCTGGACCAAGCGATCTCTGCAGCGGAACAGGAGGACTTTAGCCTACAACAGGCTCACGTCCACTCGGTATCCTATCGTCCACCGAGACGAAAGGAGGGTGGAGGTCCAAAACCAACGGACCTCTCCTGTGTAGAGAGCGAGCGACCTCGCTCTCCAGGGTACAAGCGATTGCAAAAGTGCAATCGCTGTCAGAAGTTGTGCCACTACGCTTATGAGTGTAGTGCCCCACGCCCAGTGTCTCGTAACACTGGAAATGACGATCGACCGTCTAAAAACAAGAAGGACCAGAGACGTTGTTGCGAAATCGCAACAACGTGGTGGACCATCAAAAAACGGTCGGGGTCAGTAGAGGGGGAGCGCCCTACTGATCCAGAAACGTCAAGAGAGTCCGCGGGACTCTTGACAAGGGTTGCTCCCAACACACAGTCACTGTGTGTTGCCGCTCCCAGTGATGAGGTATCCCTCATCACATTGAAGATCGAAGTGACAAAGAACATGTCACTGCGCGCCCTAGTTGATTGTAGGGCGTCGAACAACTTTGTTTGACGCCAATCGCTAGATGATCGTAGGCTCAAATATGTTGAGCGCAAGACCCCTCCAACGAGGATGACGGTGCGCCTTGCAACTGGCGCATCTGTAATAGTAAAGAAACGTGTAGTGGGAATTCACTACACGCTTGAAGGCAAAAAGTACGATGATGATTTCATCGTACTTGATCTGGATGACAAATTTGATGTAATCCTAGGATTACCATGGCTCAGAAGGTACGAGCCATGGGTCAGCTGGCAGCATCGAACCGTGAAGATGCCTGCCGCTTGTTCATCAGATGGCCATCTGATGAACGTCTTGGAGCGTTCACAAGCGTGTGAATGTACTACGAGTGAGTGTGATTGCCTCACTTGTGGTTCGGTCGTTAGTACGACTGCACAAGAACTCAGCGTGACAAACAGTCACGCTGTGGAGCAAGCTGCCGGCGGCTGTGCACAAGCACAGGCAGCGCCAAAGGTCCACCACTCGAAAAAGTCGAGTGGACCGGGACATGAATGCTCGCCTAGAGGGCAGCATTCACCGAAGAGTAAGCCGGTTACCCAGAAGCGGCAACACGGTAATCCTAGATCAACTGGAGAGTTGATCGTAGAGTATCTCGATGTGGTTGCGCCACCACAGCTAGAGGATGTCGATGGAACAAGTTCCATCGAGCCTGCGGGAATAAGTCCCCAGGAAATAATCACTGAGGGATTAAGTCCCCGTGCCCTGAGGGAATAAGTCCCCAGGAAGTAACCGAGACGTTGAACGTCTTGGTTAATGACGGATCAAACGTAGGCGCTTATACGCTTGATATGATCGCGCCTCCGAAGTTAACTTCGGAGATAACTCAGTTGCCTACGCTAGAACCTAAAAGGTTCTTGCGTGATCTGCGTAGTGGCAAAGTCAAGCAGATCTGTGTGCTCGTCGCATAGGACGAGTACATGACTGACATTCGGTCAGCAACAGTTTTTCCGAGAACGAACGGGTTCTAAGCAGCTCATCAATGGACGAAAGTGTCCTTGATGAGATGACTCGGATTGAACGATATACATCGCAATCCTGGGAGTCGCTGAAGTCAAATCCTTTGTACAAGGATTTGGTCGTATTCAAGGATGTATTCCCTGAATCCGTTCCGTGCGAGTTGCCTAAGGATAAAGGTACTCGACACGAGATCGACCTTGTTCCTGGCACAAAATATTGTGTCATGAAGCAGTGGCCACTGCCTCAGGAACAGGTCGAGGCGATCGACAACTTCTTTGCCGATCGCCTAGCAGCGGGCCATGTGAGGGAGTCAACTTCACCTCA